TTTTCAGACATTTTTAATATTTTTCAGACATATCAATATCATTTTTCATCACCATCAAACCTCCAAAGGATCCTCCTTGGGTGTCTTGAACTCCATGTAGGCTGCCACCTCATCCTCGGGCTGCAAAGCGTCATGGCTGGAGTCCTCCACGTCGGTGACCAATGTGACCACGGGGTCAAAGGTTACACTGATGTCACTGACTTTCAAAATAAAAGAAACTACAGCTTGATAACAGTGATTTAGATGTTAAGATGTTACACTTTTACTGCACAGCTTTATACTTTGTGTTATTCTGAAAAATAAGAAAATAGATTTTTATTCTCACCCACTGCCCGCCCACTTGGAGTTAACTTTTACCCGTTACACAGCTTTTTGGCTGTTAAGTGAAACTATAGTGAATTGATTATTCCTCAGTCACAGACGAGCAGAAGATTTTGTCACTCTGTTATTCAGCCAGGATTTGTACAGAAGAATCTTTTACTGAAGCTTTAAACCTTCAGATCAGTAACTTCCTCTGTGTAGGGGGGAAACATTGCTTCCACTGACTTAGAAGGATGAACTGGTTTTAAATCTTCACACTCTGGCTTTGCATTGTCCTGTGAAAGTCTTTGTATAGGTCTGAAGACAGTCCAACACTTGCGTCCAACAACAACCCTGCAGTCTCAGCACCCCCACACATTCGGTGCATTCGGAGGTCTGTTGGCTAGAACCAGTCAGTGTTTTGGATCAGGCCACAGCCAGGACAACTCACCCAGGATTTAGGTCTTCCTGTCTGGAGCCAGGTCCCTCAACACTCCCCCTCACATTGGCTGCTTCTGCAAATGTCCCCAATCGTAGTCCAATAAATCTGCGTGTGAGACAGTTGATCCGGATCTTTAACATCTTAATGTTATGTTAAACCTTCTGCTTCCCACCAAATGTACAGATTTATAACTCATGTTGTTTCTTTAATGATATTAAAACACATATGGCCTTTTAATGCCCCGGTGTTAAAGCAGCAAATATCAAAACACACAAGTGGTGTCACTTGTCTTCATAGAGGATTATTCTCACCTCTGCTGATCTCATCAGCTCAATGGAGCATTTTTGTGTCTTTCAAGCCCGGTATCACTCCGAAGTTGTCGAAATCTGGTGCTTGGGCACTGACTTGCAGCATCAGAAATCCACAAATAAAGGCAACCAGCCCTTCTATGTGGAGTTTACATGTTCTCCCTGTGTCAGCGTGGGTTTCCTCCAGGTGCTCCAGCTTCCTCCCACAGTCCAAAGACACGCAGGTTAATTGGTGACTCTAAATTGTCCGTAGGTGTGAATGTGAGTGTGAATGGTTGTCTGTCTCTAGCTCTTTTTAAACAGGAGTTGTGCAAATTAGCAGGAAAGCCCAATCAGTCTTTTTTCAGCATTGGCAGTATAAAAACAAAATCGGGGAGTGCAGCAAAATGCCGCCTACCTACTTTTGTTTATAAAGAAAGAACCTTTTTCGGGGCAATGGGGGGCGTGAGCAAGTAACAAAACATGTAGCTCAGCGTGTGACGTAAACAGTGACGTGGGAGGGAAGCCGCAGCTGGTCAGTCCTTCGGTGATTCTCTCGTAAGTCGGCCCGTTCTTCACCGTCCCCGTCATCTGACGGTTAATGGCCTCTTCGTTTGCGAGGACAAGGAGGGCGCGCAATTCCTTGTCTCCCCAGTTGCTCATCTTTACAGTGTCTGTCAGGTTTGTGTTTCCCTCTTGCTACTAGCTGCTCGCTAATTCCTGCTATAAGCTGTTTCCTGTTTATCCACCGCCAGTGGCTCGCACGTGCGGCGTCATCAACAGCTCCTCCCACAAGTCATCAACAGCTCCTCCCGTTGCAGAAGGCCGCCTCAGTCTGTTTAAACTAAAAGGTTCCACCAATATGTCTACCCTACGAGGCGGAAAATTGGGCACCTCGGATCAACTCGCCAATCCGGCTCTGTGTGTCTAAACGCTCGCAGCTTGCCGGCAAAACGGCCCAACATTCGCTGAAAATGTGGCAGTGTAAAAGAGGCTGGTGTGTCAGTCCTGTGATAGTCTGGTGACCTGTCCAGGGTGAACCCTGCCTCTCACCCAGTGTCAGCTGGGATAGGCTCCAGCCCCCGCGACCCCCAACAGGAACAGCGGTTAAGGAAAATGAATGAATGGAGACACCTTGAGGGTATAATAAGTCTTTGTCCAATCACTGAGCCTGACCTTTAACCAGCACATTGGGCTTCTTCTCTTAAACAATAACTGAACTTCAGCATATTTGGGTTTTTGGGTTTGCAGTAGCACCAAGCAGTTTATGACGAGGTGAGTGTCAGGCCACTATGAAGCACTGCCAAAAAAATACTACAAGATAAAGACAATAGTCCCAGGGACAAACAGAGAGGAGATAAAAGATGTGTGTTCGCGTTTGTTAATAAGAGTGTGATGTTGGTTTGTTCAGACTTGTGGTGTGAGCAGGAGGGAGTGTCTGGTGGAGGGTCTACAGGGAGGAAGCAGTGAGAGTAACAGGAGGTGGGACAGGACGAGGACTCAGGAGAGGGCTGAGGGTGTCTCTTATTGGTCCCGTTTGAGGCAGCAGCTTATTCATCACTGTGAGAGACATAAATACGAGCTAATCTGTGGAGTCAGGCGAGCAGGCTGCTGTGACTCATGCATCAGCTTTTATCTGGAAATACAGAATGGTGCTGTGATACTGGATGCAACACCACACCATTCGTCCAATCAACGGCCCTCGCCGTTACACTCACACCCAGAGGACAATGACTGGTCAATATGTCAGCCAACCCTCTACAGCCGTGGCCAGAGGCATTATGTTTTCGGGTTGTCCGTACGTCCGTCTGTCCATGTGTACGTCCCATCCTTGTGAACGTGATATCTCAAGAACGCTTTTGAGGGAATTTCTTCAAATTTGGCACAAACATTCACTTTGACTCACAGATGAAGTGATTAGATTTTGGTGGTCAAAGGTCAGAAGGTCAAACTTTCAAAAATCTGTGTCATTGTGTTGTGTGATCAAACTTGAAAGATTTCACGTATATACTTTTTTTGATCCAGCACCCAAATTTTTTTCACGGTCGGATGTGCGTGTTTTTTGATCTTTACCTAAGTGTGATCAAACTTCACATTTTAAAGTGTTCTTTCATTGTGACCATCCCAGGACACACCTGTGCAGTAGTGATGCTGTTTAATCAAACTCATCCTCACTGTGACCTCGTCACATGTCCACGTTTGGTCATGGACTTTCCACGTCCACATATGACGTCCAAGGTACCCTGGGTGTGTTGGTTGTTGACGTTCTGGGACGCCCTGTCAACTTCAGCCTGTTACATGCATTGTCTGTTTTCAAAATACACTTCTGTTTTCACAGGAAATGTACAGTTTGCATACAGTCTCTGTCAAAATAAAAGCACTAAGTCAGTACCACACCGGGAATTAATGTTTTTTTCCTTCAACAACAAACACATGTGGTTGGGTTTAGGAATAAAGAACAGGGTTTGGCTTTACATTGAACGTCAGTGGTTGTTGTATCCATCCACCACCTCACCCACCGACCCTACTCGGACATCCACGTCCTTAACTTTCGTTGCTGTCTGGCCACATTTCCCCCTGGCGCCACTGGGTGGCTTTTTTCATCAGTATCTAATGCCAGAAGTCACAACCAAGCACTAGTTTTTGACGACTTCAGAGTGAGACCAATGACTGACTCGGATTTTAACTAATTTGTGACCAAACTTTGAGAGAAATTTCTCTGTTGAGTTCATAAAAAAGTCTTCTTTAACTTAACTTTAACAATACAATAAGTAATAACATAAGATGTCAATAAGTCAGACTGTTTCTGTCTGCAGTGATGTTACCTGCCTGTTAGTGTTAGGCTCTGGAGGTGTATAAGTCCTGAAAAGTTAGATGTGGCACCAATGATTCTTTGTGGGAGGCTGATCCAGACCACAGTGTTGGACGTGCAGAGAACAGACTGAGTTATTGTATCAGCAGGTAGAACTTCCTGAGCTGCGCTGAAGTCCACTGTCATGTCCACAGCTTCCAGCTCCTTTCCTGCTGCTTGCACTGCAGAGTACGAAGAACCACATCAACCGTGTCTGACTGCTTTGTGTTTCCTCTCAGGTGAAGGTTTGGTTCCAGAACCGGAGGATGAAGTGGAAGCGCGTGAAGGGAGGCCAGCAGGGGGCGGCGGCACGAGAGAAAGAGCTGGTGAATGTGAAAAAAGGGACGTTACTTCCCTCTGAGATGTCAGAGATAGTGGGACTGAAGCACTCTGCCAGCTCGCCGAGGCTGGCGACTGAAGAGGACAGCCATGACAGCAACCACAGCTCAGAGAATCCTCACCTATGACCTTCCATGGTGTCACAGGACTGGACAGAAATGAGGAAACATTGGTGAGACATTAAAAATACATGTATACAGCTTGCTGTGAGCAAAGCCTCCCAACAGACGATTAATGAGACTCAGAGAACATTCCAGAGATGCTTTGCATTGATGAAAGGCTTTTATTTTGCACTGTCGAGAACTTGTGTCGGTCAAACTCTACTGTACTTCTTCTATTGATTAATACAAAGATGTTTTGTGTACGATGAACTGAACTGAAGGAACTCCTGCTCATGCTTTGGAATTTTAATAATTTATCAAGAGGTCCCAAAACTGTAATCGCCAAACGCAAACCTCTCAAGTTTCTTCCTGCATCCTAAAATAATGTACCTGGTGAACATGTGTTTCTCCTCCTGCTCTGCTGAACTCAGATTTCTAATGCAAATAAATCAGAAAAATCAAAACCAAGTCTTGGTGGCAGTTTCTTAGCATGTTTACATTTAGGGGTGGATTTTACCATCAGCCACTGACAGCTACAGAATAATGTTCACATGTAGAAAATAAAATGATGTTAGTTTTTTAACTCACATCCATCCATCATCCATCCATTTTCATGGTCTCGGGGGCAGCAGGCTGAGCAAAGCACCTCAGACGTCTCTCTCCCCAGCAACACTCTCCAGCTCCTCCTGGAGGACCCCGAGGTGTTCCCAGACCAGATGAGATCTGCAGTCCCTCCAGTATGTTTTGGTCTGTCCCCTGTCTGCATGCTAGCTAGCTATCTCTGTTATATGATGTTGTCTTGAGACCATCACATGGATGTTGACCTCAATTCATCATTGCTTTATTCTGTCACATGAAGATTCAGCTTCAGACCATCAAATCAACGACATTTTAACTACCTAGCATGCTAGCTAGCTAGTTATTGCTTTCTACTCATCAATTGCTAAAGGATAAAGCAATGATGACTTGAGGTCAACATCCATGTGATGGTCAACAACGACTTTGCAAAATCAGGACGTGCCACTTGTAGCATGATCTTTCTCATCTTCTTCACCGTCTGTAGGCCTGCAGGAAGGACAGACATGTTACTGAGGTCCACCATCTGAAATACAGTCTTGGGACATGTTGAAAGTTTCCACTGCCCACCATCATCGGCCTCTCACCTGACACTGAAAAGTGCAAAACTCTCAGTTGAAAAACTGAGAAGTCCTGTTAGAAAAAATAAGAAGAATCACTGCAGCAGGGTGGTGCTGGTGCAAGAGCTGAGGCGAGAGCAGCTGATGCTGGAGGACAGTGCATCTCTAAAACATCCCATAACTGCATTTCAAATAGCGGACCTCTGCAACATATCTATCCTTCCTTTGGTGGACTGTGACCGGCAGCAGCCAAACGGCACCTCGTCATTACAACATCCGACAGCTGCGGCAGGAGGAGACGAGAGAAGGAAGAGAACGAGGGAAGAAAGAGAGAAAGAGTCATCATGTTGTGCTAATTGTCTCATTTGTGCTCCAATAAACAGTGAATTCATCAAAGTGCCATATTTCTGTTTTCCAAACTACTGTAGCTGCGATCATGTTGCAGTGGTTACTGATCAATGTCACATCAGACTATTAAACACACCCCCATCCTCTGTTTAAGAACTTAACTGTTAAACAGGAAGTAAAACTAAAGGGGGCATTATAGTAGCTGGTGAGAAATGCTGGTTAGGTCCTCCAGATGGAGACTGGTGTTCATTTGCATGACGAAAACTATGACAAAAGTTTTTCATCGACAACCTTTTTTCCATGACGAAAACCAGACAATGACGAGCTAAAAATAGATCTTGATAGTAAGAACTAAGACAGAATCTATGTTTCATGTTCATTGACGAGACGTGACAAAAATATTTGTGGCGGACTATCGGACATAGTTCTTGTAATTATCTTCAGATGCCTGATGAGCGTCAGGCTGGTAAACTCCAGTAAATAGTCTGCACCAGGATGTTTGGGTTGGTGCGAGTTGTGAGCTGTAATTCAGCAGTAAATAATCAGCCGTGTGTGTCTGACTGTGGATGGTGGAGCTGCTGAATGGATTTGTGGAGTTTGTTAGTTGCAGTTAGCAGCTAGCTCCGCTCACAGACTTCACAGCTTCACCCTGCAGGACTGGGGACAAATCCTAGTTGGCTCACATTAGTTATTTGTTGAGAGCATAAATAGAGAGATGTTGAGCTTTTCAGATGATGATCAGTGGGTCAGTTTAAAGAGAAAAACATATAGAAAACATTGTGACTAAAGTGTTTTGAATTTTCGTCGAGTAAAACTGTGAAGGATAAAAATGTGACTATAATAAACATTTTCGTCTCAGGACTAAAATCAATCTAAACTAGCTGTCAGCATTAACCTTGATGAAGCCTGCTGACGGTCGGGCTCTTATATTTCCCTCTGAATGATGATCCAGGTTTGTGTTTTCGCTGAGAGGAGGATAAAAAGCCGGGTGTTGTGGAATGCATCTGGCCAGCGTCACGCCTGATCTTGGATGAACCTCATACCTTGACCCCTGAGGGAGCAGCTTTCCTTCAGCAGGAAGGGTCATGTTGTCATTACAGCCCGCCGTGCCAAGATCAACACAGCCAGCTGAAGACTTTTCCACATTCGACTGGAGGGCCTGCTTTGCTTTCCTAACCCAACGATTTAGTGAGATTTACAGCGCTGCGGAGGTGTTGATAAGTGCTGCGCTCCGAGGCGGGATTCTTTCTGTGAATGCTTTAACAAACCTGATGAATCTGAGCTGCGAGGGTGAGGAACGTGATCATTCATGAGAGCTGAAGCTGAGAGGAGAGATATTGAAACAAGTGTTTTGAAGCAGAGTCTCAGTTTTTCCTCAGTGACTCAGGCACTTTTGGGAAAAGCTCTGACCATGGATGTTCCTGTACTGGATTTCTCACAGATTTTACAGACACTTTGGGAAGTTTCCAGGCGTTTCATCTGGGAAATATTAAAAACAGCCATCTGTGAAAAATCTACAACTGCTACATGTTTATTCAAATAATTATCATAACTGGAAGATCAGGGATGTTAAAATCTTTTGAGGCAGGTCATGAATCACATTGTCTTTTTGTGGGAGAGAAAAATGAATCCAAATATAATTCACCATAGAAACTGAGAGGGAGCAGTCAGAAGTAATTCAGATCGTTATTTGTTCAGCGCTGCCTAAACGTGTGTAATGATGTGATGGTAACCTTTGTAAGTCTAATACCACGGCGTGACGGTGGAAAGTGGGATCAGGGGCCAAGGAATTGTGCTCAGGAAGTTGTTCAGATTCTGCAGATCGTGGCTGAAAGAGACTGAATGACGAAACAGGAAACCACAAGCCCTCCAATAAACTGGCAGGGGACTGTGACTGACAGCTGTTTTACCCATTTAGAGCTTTAGCTGCTGGGCTCAGATCCACCTCGACTTGTGGTATGAGCGACTTGGCTGCCTGGACCGAGAAATGAAGGTGCACAAACACAAAGTGACTTCACACCAGGAACACTCAGACGCTGAGGACCAAGCCCAACACTTCCCCTCGGCCCCCTCGGCTTCGTTGTCAGTGCTGCTGCATCAGAGAGCTAACTCACTCGTTTCATTATGATGTGATATTTGCTGATATTACAATGTCTGCTATGCCTCAATTTCGATTTGATGTGATTCCGGGGCCTGCGATCGATTTGAGACAATATGTATGCACGGGTTCCTTTTTGAAAACTTGCACCCGCCCTTACAGGTAAAGCTCAGCACCAGAACCGACCTGTTCCCCGTCATTAGCTGCACCCGTTAATAAAAGTCCTGCGACCCGACCGAGGTAAAAAGCTAATGTTAGGCAATAAACAAACCACACCATGGTCACATGACTTTAATGTTGCCACAGCAACAAGGCTGTAAAGCCGTGCTCAATGTGATGATGTACTGTTGTCTCATTTAGCCACTTGTTAGCAACCACCAGGGGGCGTGCACCCTGTAATCCATCGTATTTAATATGGACGCACAACAGGCGCACTCAGACGCCAGAGCGACACCAGAGCGAGAGGCACACGCTCCCCAGTGTCTATATTTTAGGATGCAACAGTTGCGATAAATTGCGTTCAACTTTTTGAGCACAGCAGCGTGCACCACATGTTGTGACGAGGACCAACCAATCACAGCTATCTGTGCCTCAATCTGTGATAAATATGGAGGAGGAGTTGATCATGTTTGTGCAGAGCTGTCAGAGCGTCACATCTGTCCCATGGACAATACACCGTTAAAGACGCAGCACATGTGTGGCCCCTTAAAGCTTTGAAACTCACCAGTGGCGTATTTAGAAATAAAGTAAAACACAGAGCAGATACCGGCCCCTGAGGCGGCGCCTGATCATGACGGGCTCTGTACGTGAGAACACGTATCGTAAAGTGAGTCCTGAACCTGATGAAGACAGTGTGAAGAAACTAAAATGGGAGCAGCAGCGCTCTGGATTATTTGACAGCGGTTCAGAGAAGAGAGCAACATTAGGCCCAATGTTGTGTGGATCCAACACAGAAGCATAAATCCTGCCTTATGATAAAAGAGAGGCGGGTAAGGGTAATGAGAAGGCACATCACCTCAGTATTTACCCACAAGTTTGTATGTTTGTGTGAACTTTAACTCCCAGTCTTACCTTGATTATCAAAGGCTGATAGCCATGCAGGTGTAGCTGTGCTCGATGAAACACAAACCTTTCAGTAGATTTTCTAAAGGAAACAGCTTCATTGTCCTTCAGTGTTTGTTTAGAAGCTCCAGATGTGTGTTGTGAGTGTTTGCAGTGACCAGGTTGATCTACTGACCCTCACAGTCGACTGACAGGAGCTGATGGATCGAGGTGTTGATATGAAGGTTGGTGGTGTTTAAACTATACAAATGAAAAAGAACAGAACTTTATTGTCTTCAGGAAGGATCATGTTGCGGTTGAGTATAAAATGAGTGTTATTGTGCTGAACTGTGAAATAGTCACAGACAACTATGTCACACACATTTTCCTTTAGATTCGTCTCTGCTGTTTTTGTTTTCCTGGGGATTTCCAGGGTCTTCCCTCTTCCAGAGATCTAATTGCTCCACCATCCTTCACTCAGCTCAGTGTGTTCCTCAGTCACTGTGCAATTTTCCAGGGTTTTGTTTTCCACCCATCAGGACGTTTTACCACTACTGATCCAGTCTCCTCGGCTGCCAAAGTGCCACATGCTGTCATTGCCCTGCTGGCTTTTTCCAACCGCTGGCTCCTGACACCGCACCAGTCCTTCATTAAATCTCCTGCTCCGGAGCTTCAGTCAACGTTCCACGCAACCACAAATAACCAGACTGCATGGAAGAGGACATTTCCTCCGTTTCCCCCTGTCCCTTTCTCGTATGGTTAAGGTGCACCTAATGAATAGATCTGATCTCAGCAGAACGTTCAGGAAATAAAGTGCAGCAGAAGAAAAGAGGAACAGCAACACGCAGACAGAATGGGCTGACAGAGAGACTAAACCAAAGGCTTTTGGTGAAGAGGTTGTTGACAGACGAACCCCGACTTGGGCATCTTGGGGAGTCTACCAGGCTGGAGTCCTGCATGAAATCCAAGTCTGTGTGGAGATATATAGATCCAGAGTACTGCTAATACAGTGGGCTATCTGTTTCCTTTAAGGACAATAAGAGCATAAACTTTCTACTCAGGTGGTGACATGAAATGCTGAAGGAAACAATTTGGGACGTATTTGCTTTCTTTTAGAGAGTGTTCATTCATGTCTGAATGTTAAAGGTCCAGTGTGTAAGGTTTAGAGAGATTTAGTGACATCTAGTGGTGAAGACTGCACATTGCAACCAGCTGAAAGTTCTCAGAGTGAGAATTCCTTCAGTGGTGATTATTTAAGACATTCTGAGCGTGAGCAGAATCGTCTGCAAAGATCTCTTCCAAAGTCCTGCATGCGTCCATTTTTGAAAACCCGCACTGCCCATAAAAGCTCAGCACCAGAACCGACCTGTTACCCATCATCATGTCTGAGTCAAAGCTGCACCATGATCAAACCCCCCCAGGCTCCAGTCCCTCACATGAAGCTGGTTCTCCGTTGTTGAATTGGACGTCTCTTTGACTGGATGGTGAAAACATTCAATCACTGCCAGGTTAGGAAACATGTTAGCATGCTCCTTCCACCACCATCAAACCTCCAAAGGATCCCAACTCCATGTAGGCTGCCACCTCATCCTCGGGCTGCAAAGTGTCATGGCTGGAGTCCTCCACGTCGGTGACCGATGTGACCACGGGGTCAAAGGTTACACTGGTGTCACTGGCTTTCAAAATAAAAGGAGCTGCAACTTGATAATAGTGATTTACATGTTGAGATGTTACACATATACTGCACAGCTTTGGTTCACTCTGAAAAATGAAAAATAGATTTTTGTTCTCACCTGCTGCCCATTCATTTATATATACATATGCTTGTTACACAGCTTTTTGCAGGTTACCTGTCAGGTGCCCGATCAGGTGCAGGACTCAGGTCTCTTTATATCCAAAACAATC